GATAAGAAATGCATCATTTGAAATTATTATATTTGTGACTATTATTACTATGTTTGTATTGTGCATTTTGCTTTAAACGTTTTCTTTTAAAAGAGTAAGTTTTTTTTTTAGGTACAGTTAGGTAGGTAAGTACATATTCCATATTTATCATGCCACTGGGTGGACGGCAACACCTTGAAAAAACTAGAAGTAGCCGTACCCTGGAAAAATCTGCCCACCCCTGGTGTAAAGGATATAAGCAAATGAGGGATTTTCGGCAATTTGTGTGCTCATACTCTCCATCATTACATCTGGCTGTTTCTCACAAAAGTGGGCAAATTTTATAAAGTATCAGGTAAAATGAGTAGCCACGTACGTATGGATGACCTAATGAGATGAAGAATTGTCGGTAGATTGGATGCACACCAATCACAAGAACAGGTGGTTACAGAATTCAATGTAATGCCCAGTGTTGTCTGTAATTTGTAGAAACAGTTTCAGGACACTGGATCTATATCGAGAAGATGTGGCCAAGGTGAATCAAGATAAACAACGACGAATCAAGAAGATCATTATTTGGCACATTGAGCATGACGACACGGGACTGCTATAGCTTCACAACTCTCATGCGAGTAGTAAGCTGTCACTGGAACCCAAGTTTCACAGTCTACAGTTCCCCAAAGGCTTCATGAGATAGAGCTGCATGCCAGAAAATCCACAGTTTGTATTCCACTCACTGCAGCATACAAGAATTTAGCATGGTGTAGACAATATGTGCCTTGAACCAGACTTCAGTGGAGCACTGTGCTTTTTACAAATGAGTCAGAATTCAGCCTGGACATTGATTCTCGGCATACCTGTATCGGGAGAAAGTCTGAAACAGGATACCATCTCTCCCTCATTAGGGAAAAGGATAATTATAGTGGTGAAGGTGTAATGGGTTGGACAGGCATTAATTATGCTGGGTGGCCACACACCTCTGCATGTGTTTGACAAAGGCTCCCTGACTACTGTGAGGTACAGAGAGGAGATCTTCCTAAATTCCCCAAGTTCCACTTCCCAGGAGCACAGCTGATTCTGGATTCCTGTTAATGGACAACAATGCTTGCCTACACAGGGTTTAACTGGAAAGTGAAGATATTTCCCAGAAGGATTGATTAGCCAGATCTCCTGATCTTAACCCAACAGAGCATGTCTGGGATGCTCTTTGGAGGGCAATTTCACCTTGCCATCCCTCTCCGAGGACCACACCAGAGTTGAAAACTGCTCAACAGTAGAATAAGGATTGACTGCTTCAGGAACTCAACTGCCTCCTGTTCTGTATTTTGCTATGCTGCCCGACCTGTCTCACCATGTGAGGGGGGCCACACCCCATATTAGACTCACTTTCAGTTCAATACCATAATGTGGATTTTGGATATTCCTGCACTTTGAACTTTACTGATAATCATGCATACATAAAACGACTTTTAAGTGGTACATTTCTTTCTATGTTGTAAATGTATATTCAAACCAAAATTCATTAGAATCAGTCCATTAGTTTTTCAGAAATTTGACATAATATGTTAATTCTCTTACCTTTGCACATGAGTGTATTTCAAAGCAGATCAGTTTATAAATGATAGTACTAAATTTATTGGTTACAGGAAAAACTATATTATACAATATTTACAGTATTATTATATTTTACAAAAATTTAAAAAAATGTTTGCATAGTTTGTTTTGTGGTTTATAACTGAAAACACACCTAGAATATATTTTGCTAAATGTTTTCACCTCACACAAAATTAATATCAGCTTTATAAAGTACATTTAACTCTATAAGTAAAATGAAAATAGTGATCGTCATTCAAGGACATAAGTCACTATTTGTCACATAACCTAAAATTCTCTCAGGCACTCTTGGTTGGGAAACCCTGACCTAACTTATTTCTATAAAATAAAAAAATTTACGAAGTCTGATTGATTTATTCAATTTTACTTCATTCTTATAAAAAAATAAATAAAACCATGAAATATATAAAAATGGAAATTATAAATTTGTAAACAAAGTCTGAGTTTGTACCTGGAAAAGCATTGAAATTAACATATACAATATAAAATTTTACATATTACTTTGACCAGAAAATTTTTTTCTATGTCACCTCTAAAACCACAATTTTCCTATACAGTTTGAAATAGCTCATATATTAAATGTATGCATATGCAAATATCTTAATAACATTTTAGAATTTCATTTCTTCAATCTATCTGAACATCTGAATGAATCTTAATAAATATAAAATATATAAATATGTTACATTCAGAGCTCAAACAGGGTTCGTAGCCACAGTTTAGTTAAAAAAATAAACACCTATAAGCACTTTTCAAGCACATTTTAAGGAAAAAAATTAGCACCTGTCTAATTACATTATATACAACTGCATAACCTTAAAAAAAAATTAGACTTGTAATTTAAAATATGAGGCAGTGCAATATTTATTAAGAGAATGAACATTGAAATTGTTCAGTTCAAAATATAGAAATAAATAATAATAAGCCATATTAATTGTATTCATTCGGCACCTAATAATAAACACAATTTATTTTCCCACTCATATTAATATTTAAATAATTTAACTTAAATCAAAATTCTGAACATTTTATAAATTTTCATTGCATAACAGTTTTCTCTTAACATATATTCCAAGCAAAGTAAATTAAATAAAAAAGAGGCACATTTCTGAAATCAGAAGACGGGAAATTGCTTCATGCAGTCATCCTTTAACAGTAAAAGCTTAACTAACCCGCATATTCGGAAATTGCCTAATATTCCGGATAGTAACTGGAAAAAGAGGAGTGAAGGAGATTGTAGCCGTTCTTTAGATTTCTTGGCTAAATAAATGATTTTGACATTTCGATATGTGCATCATATAAAAATAGACCAACGAAACTGAGAAATATTCTGCTTAGAAAGCACAGTAAAACTCTTTTAAGTGTTCATAAACAAATCTTGGACTGAACATCAAAATTAATTATCTCTGCAAAATACCAAAAACGTTATTGCGCAATACGTGCGGCATAATTCCTCCACATGTGATATTACGCAATCGGAATCAACAGCTGCTGGTATTTGGAGAATAAAGAACTGAATAAAGGAAAAGAAAGAGACTTAGTAATCTGGGGTGTTTCGGATTATAATTTTCAACAGACTGCATTAAATTTCTGGAATAGAATCAATCTTTGCTTAGGCTGGATAGACCGCAAAAACTTTTAGTCCTATTCAATCCAGATTGAGCAGTGACGAAAAAAAAAAAAGAAAGAAAGAAAGAAAGACCGCTGTTTCAATATTAGAGATTTTGCGGAGAAAGGGGAGAAACTCCCAACCTCCGTACTGTATAATGTATTGGGGAAAAAAAAATATTTTGACTATTCAACTACTTTCCTTTTATTTAAGCCATTCCGAATATTATTCCTTAGAAAGCTAATCTGCACAACACACTCATTTTTGGAAGTTTATCTATACTTCAGCAGTTACTGCAACTATATTATTATAAATATTCATTCATATGCTCATAATATACGCATAACGATCATAATAAACACGAATATAAACTGACCACGTGGAGCGCGCACCATAGGTTACGTTAATGCAGAGAAAGGGGGGAAAAGCAATTTCCGGGAGTATGATTCACCATCTGACGTTGCATATAAGGAAGAAAAGTTGTTTATTTAGTTTCGGCTTTGGTACGGGGAAAAATGCGCGTTCATTTAAAAAAAAAAAAAAAAAAAAAAAAAAAAAAAATAAAAAAAAAAAAAAGCACTAAAAGCAAAAATAAGCACTAAAAATAAAAAAATAAGGCTTTAAAGAAAAGTAAGCACCTATAAGGGCCTTTATATTTTATTTTCAAATATAAGGACTTATAAGCACTTGTAAGGACCGCTACGAACCCTGTCAAACCTTAAGCACTTACTTCATAATTTATTCTCACATTAAAAAAAGCCATAAAGGAATATCGTACATTTAAACCTCAATTTTACAAGATATAGAGTAATTTAATAATTTTATAATTGTTTATGCAAAGTACAACTTTTCTAATTTTGAATACCAAGTTAATAAACCTAAATGATTAATATCCAATAATATAAAACAGCGGTCCTCAACCTTTTGACTACCACGTACTATCTAAACAAAAATCGAAAACCTTTAGTACCACCACCACTCTTGAACGAAACTTAAATCGCATAAATTTACGAAAGTAACAGAAAAAACTCAATAAGGGTGTTGGGGTTTTAATTTTTGAATTTTATAGTTAAAAATACTTCACTTCTTTGCATACCACCTATTTTTCTCTTGCGTACCACCGGTTGAGAACCTCTGATATAAAATTATCACATAATTTAACACATTCGCTGCCAAAGCTGATATGGTGCATGCAATCACACGTGCCAAGATTTCTAACTGCACTTTTATGCTTTTAAATTATGTTTTATTATTTAAATATAGACATAACAGATTTACTTTTACAATAAATAAATTCACATGAATATACTTGTAGTTAGCATATGGAATATACCCCCTACCAATTACGAAATAACTCGGAATTAGATAAACAAATCTCGCCCATTCTGCACATTCACACTACACTCCAGCGCATGCAATTTTTCATTAGTCTCGTATGAGTCACTGAACAAGAATTTCAGGAGTCTGTTTATAACATTTTCCCAACTGAACAAACAGATCGGGGAAAATGATTTTACATTCTAAACATTTAGTTACTGTATCTACATTAAAAGAAGTAAGTTATCTATTTCAGTGTACTAAGTGTATTAGCCCCTTTCTGTAAGGCAAATACCTAAGCAGTTCATGCATCTGCTATGGTAGTACTTATACTCAGTAATTTAGGTAAGCATATCAATAATGAGTTACCTCACAAATGGCAAATAAAATCAGACTGCCAATTATAAGAATTCTAGTAGATGGCAGCAAACGTGTTAATCATATTAAGTTTATCAGTAAAAAATAATTAAATACAAAATCATTTGGAAATGTAAATAATTTATTAATAACAGTAAAAGTTGAATATCACTGATCCCGTATATTGAAAGTGCAGTAAATGAATCTATTTAATAGTTTTTAAGGAGTTAAGAAACATTAAGAACATGAAAGTAAAGTCACTTGTGGTATAATTACTTTGATTTAAAGAGTCATTATACATAAATTAATATATAGCATCAAGCTTTTAAATGCCCAAAGAATGCTTCAGTGCTTGAATACATATTTCACATAGAAATTTCAACACCTCAAAATAAGTTAATTTTTTATTATGGGCATTAAATTAACTTTTCAATTAATACAAAAGTGAAAAATTCAACAAAGAGAAAAACAGAATATTTAAGAAACTATATTATTACAAAATTCTTTTCTGTATAGGTTAAAACATTTCATGCCATCATTAAAATTCTTGAAATTCATATTTACAAGTTTCAAACTCATAATTAATTATTCAGATCTTTCACATCAACTCCTTAGTAATCATTAGATCATTTACATTAAAAATAATTTCAACAAACAGTTTCTTGGTCAATGTTAATATTTTTATGTAGTACTCACGCGCATATGGAAATGAAAAATTATTTACTTGCTGCAGTATCTGTTTCTTGATGAGTATACATAATGCTAACTGGGTCACTGTATGGACCCATTCGTAAATAAATATCTACTGCACGAACAGTAAAATAATATCGATGACCTTCAACAAATTGTGTTAAAGTACATGCCATAGGCAATGGCAGGGCTTTAACATCTCCTACTTTCTTCCACAAGCTTGAAGTCACAGGACCACTGGTTTCCTGGTATGCAAAAAGCTGATAATTACCAATTTCTGCATGAGAATTAAATAAATTCATATTCCAGGACAATATGATACCTATGTAAGAAGATAAGAAGAAATACGTTTCTATGTATGCAAAAAATAAATTTGAATATTTATCATAACTACAAACAAAACATTTGTTTTTTAAACATCATTGAAAAATTACCTAACTGTGATGATCAAAGAATATGATGATACAACTGAGTACAATAAACAAAACAGAGTACAGGGTGAAGTCAAATAAACATTTAAAGAATTTGTATTTCACAGTGTATGCTTTATGCAGTTAGCACAGAAACAAAAATACAAGCATGTACTTTTATGAAATTTTATTATGGACTGCAGCAGAATGTAAAATATTTGTATTCAATGTTGAAAAGGAAGCCATCATTACCAAACAATGCCGTAAGACCAATTTAACCCCTTCCCTTATTTAATTTCCAAATGTGCAGGCCAAAAGCGACACCATAGTCGGTCGTGTGCAGGAACATAAACAACTTTGCTCGGCGTTCGAAACTGTACAAATCGCAAACTTCCTATGATTTGTATATACACATGCGCGGTACAATTAATTTTGCAAGATACTTGACAAATAATTACGGTTGGTTGATTATTAAACAAAAAACAAAAAAAGATTTATTGTTGCAAATTATATAATCCATTAATAATAACATTTTTGTTTTAATACAAAACTTTAGTAATCTTTGACAGTATATCTCTCAAAACATGTTGGTACATGTAATGCAATTTTACACTTTTTGCATTCCCACGTTGTCTCTCTGCGTTGTTTATGCTTTGTGCAAACTACACATCTTCGTTTTGGGTGTTGGTTCGACGGCATTGGATCTATATGTTTGGGAAAATGACTCCACTGTTGAGCCTGCAATCTTAGTGGTAAATCTCCATTTGACAACTGTCCTTTACGGTTGTAGTTCCGTAATGGTGTATTTTCCAATAATAATTTGGCTATTTTAACCTTATATTCTGCATATCCCTGTCTTTTTTCAATATTTATCTTGTTATGCAAAATGAAAGAGTTAAATAATGCCATGTCAAACAGGTAAAAGAAAATTTTCCAATACCCCTTCATACACTTTCTCATAAGAGGGAAGCACGCTAGCATTTGATCTTGTCGATCAACTCCTATTATCCCTTTGATGTATTCGACAATACACTTTGGTTTCCAAGTAGGATTGTGTTGCTTTTTGATTTGCTCAGTCATTGCTACTGTTGTATGTTTTGTAGATAGAATAAAAATGTCTCGTTTATCTTTCCATTTTATTGCCAGTAATCCATTGCAGCTTCTCATTTCATATTCTCCTGTTTTTAATTTTGTTTTCAAGAAATCTTTTGGCATATTTTTCCTGTTTGCGTGCCCTGTTCCAATGAAATTAGTTTTACTGTTGAGTAATTACAAAAAGATTTGGTGAAGAATACCAATTGTCCAAATATAATGTATATACTTTGTGTAAAATTGGCTTTGATAGTTCTTTGACTACAGTTTCAGATGCATTTTCCGTAGTATGTATTTTGTCGTGGCCAGTGTATATTTTTAAATTATAGCAGTAACCTGTACTGGACTCACATAATTTATAAACTTTTACACCAAATCTCGCTCTTTTTGATGAATTGTAGTGTTTATAGGATAAACATCCTTTAAATTTTACTAATGATTCGTCAATTGCAATGTCCTCTTGCATACTTTATATTTCTTGGAATTGTTGGTTAAAATAATTTATTACGGGCTTTATTTTACTTAATTTATCACTTTTATTGGCCACCTCATTATTTGCAAAATGCAAAAATCTACTTATTTGTAAAATTCTTTTGTACGGCATCATTTCTCTAAATATTGGAGTTGCGATAACGGCCCTCTTAGACCAATACATTTGAATTTCGGGTTTCTTAGCACTTCAGCCGCAATTATACATAGGGCAGTATGTATTTCTGGTTCATCACAGTCAATAGGAAACCAAGCTTCATCAATTTTTCTTCTTTTATTTTCATTATTTATCACTTGTTCTGCATATAGATTTGTCTCCGTCACAAGATTTTCCCAAAATATACTATTAAACATTATATTAAAAACCTCCATTTCCTCTTTGCTTGTACTCAACTGATCTAATGTTGCAGCTTTTATTCCGGGAATTTCCATATATTGCCATATTTTTGGTTGGTTCTTGTTTTTTTTCCAGATCCACAACTCAGGTGGTTGATAATAATTTTCATTATCGGATTATTCGCTAATCACCACCAGTTGCTTAGTAGCTTTTCATGCAAAACATACAATGCCACTACCACTGTCACTACTACTGGTAGCAAAGTCATTTTTCTTTTTGAAGACATTATAATGGGTGATTTTGTAATACTTCTTACGATGTAATGTCGAATGCGAACGAGAAATAACTGAACTCGCACCTCTGGAATGTCTCTCATGGGGCAGAGGCCCCATCAAGTTTCTGAAATGTTTCGTTTATGTTTCGCCCGGTAGAGTTACGATGACTCTGAGGCATCTTATTCATGGTTGGTCCAATAACCTTGCAACGGCTCTGAAACATCATTGTAAGCTAAGGGATTAAGAAGTTACAGGCAACAAGTTATGCAAAATTTTGGGGATTCAATACCAAATGACTTCTATATATTCTAGATTTCAAGAGTAAGATAATCAAAAATAAGAAGACTAGACAAGTAATATAGAATGATGCTATATCTTATCTTAAACATATGTCAAAATCCCCCAATGGCAAGAAATGTTGTTTCAACAGATCTGCAACAATGTTAAAATGTAACAATGATGGTTTAAACATTAACAAGAAATAAAATGAACATAAAATTTTGGTAAAATACCATAACAGCACACACTTAAATGCCGCATTTTACAAAAAAAAAAAAAAAAAAAAAAACTTACTGTAGCTTTTTCTTTAAAAACTAATTTTAGAAGTTTACATCTGATGAAAATTCAGAATTTCAGAATTTTATAATGCTGTGTAAAGAATGTCTGTAATAATGTAATAATAATAAAAACTGCCTTTCCCCCCTTTCCCTTACTACATTTCCCATACACTGCAAATTCATTAAAATACAAAATTTTTAAATATTCACTTGCATTTTGGTGCCTTAGTAGATTATCAAGTACAACATGATTACATTTTGATTACTGTGATTAAATTAATTACATTAAATTTGCTACACAACAACATGTTTTACATTCATATTTAGCTTATGAAAGTACAATGATCATTTTATTAAATGGGCTTTTAGCTCTAAGGTTACTGTACAAAATTTAAATTTCCTACTTATAAAAGCATTCTACGCACAATGCTGGAACTGTTTTCATAAGACTATGAACAGTTCTCTTGGTGGAAGGGAGTAAAGTTTTGTAACTGAAAGTACATGTCTAGGATCACTATTTAAGGAAGGGGCTTTCAAACACGCTGTATAACATTATCAAAGCATAAAAAGAATAACAGAGCAAAAAATTCACTAAGTACACTGCATTCAGCTAAAAGAATGAAAACACACATATGTATGCTACAGAATATTAGGCCTGAGAACTTAGAAAGCAGAATCAAGGTTTAGAAGACAATTTCATAGAAAGTAGTAGAAATGAATGCTGCATGTTACATAAAATGACTGAATAGAAGGTAATAAAACAAAACTAAGCACAAATACTCTAAATAAAAAAAAAAAACTGAATAACAAAGTTGTGTTTAAATATTTCTTCACCTCAGGCAAGTGGGTAATGTATGTTTGTTGCTGATTTTGTGCCTCTTTCCTTGCTGTTCATCCTAAGACAAGTATCTCACTCTTCTCTCACCCCAGTGCCACACCAATAAAAAACGAAATGCCACCTTTGATCAGTATAGTGGTTAGCAATGGTACATAGTGTGTTGTTGGGCCTGAGTTCAAATCCCAGAGAAGACTTGGATGTTTATAAATATGTAGTGCCTTTGTAGCACGGGGCACCTACAATACATGATGAGCCGAGAGTTCCCTCAAATGGTTTGGTGCTAGAAAAAGAAGGACAGAAGATCCTTGCATCCCCCCTTGAGATTCTCCTTTGATTGGGATGGAACTGGGCAAACTCATATTGTGACCTGTAAGGTGCTCAAGGTGCACACAAGCAACTGATGTAAAGCTGCTCTAATTGTCACAATAAAATCTGTGACTTGTTCTTACAGAACAATCAGACAAGTGAGAAGTCACAACAATATGAATTGATGTAACAAAATAGTTCATACCATTTGGAGCTTTAGAACCTTTTAATGATGGCTGTGGTGGTGGAGCTTTTAATTTTGCATTAGGAGGATATGAAGGAACTGGAGGAAATGGAGCAGGATGCTACAAAAGAATAAAATTATATATGTTACTCAAAATATGAAACAAATTTATTTAAAAAAATTTGCATTGTGAAAACACTGTATATAAAATTAAAAATTCATAAATCTATACAACTAATAACAAGATATACGTGTAAAAAATTAAAATTTAAGTATCTTCTCAAAATACCATAAAAGAAAAATATATAACACAAATCAGATACAATAAATTTTTTTAAACTTAAATTTCAATAAAGTTATAAATAAGTACATAAATAAATCAGTAAACAAAATTTACAGTGAATGAATTCTGTGACACAGAATGTTTGTATCATTTGCAAAACACACATTTCTTAACTTGTAATTTAAAATGCATATGCATACTACAAAAGGACACATAATGAAAGTCAAATAAGAAAACCCTGCAAATAATTTTACAGTTTAGTATGGAAAATATTACCTTTGTAGTACGTGAAATGAGAATCAATCCAGATGATGGCTGTGGACTAGATATGCTTGATGATGGTAATGGTGACACAGCCATTTTTGGAGAACTATTTACAGGAGTATTTATAGAAGCAGCAGTTGCTATTTAAGAAAAAAAAAAAAAAAAGTTTAGTATATTAGCAAATTAATCTTTTAATCTTTTTTTTCCAAACTTTACTCTTATAAAAACACATAATTTAAAGAATGATATCAGAATATTATACAATAAAACTCTGTGTAACATGAATTCTTACAATATGATTTCACAGTAGCAAGATTGCAGAATGGAGAACACCTGATATAACAAGTACTTATATATTATCTTTTTGACCATGAAAGTTGGCAGAGATCCCACCAAATTTCCATTAAGTAAAGATTCTCATTAAATTCTCAAGGAAACAATGCTTCGTTATTTAACAAACAATCAATATCCCATTAACTTTACTTTTGCCACTTTTTACTATTTTCTTAGAAGCTTTGTTTAGAACACTATGAGTTCACACTTTCCATATACTGTAAAGCCATTCTATTATTATTTTGACAGCCATGTTTAGGTGACCATATTGCATCCAATCATATACACTGTTTTTAATGGTAAGATCACATAACTTACCATAATATTATAACAGGAACAGTAGATAAAAATAATCTACTGTTCCTGTTATAATAATCCATTGTAGAAGATAAGTCCTAAATTGTAACCATTTCTTTTCTTTCAAAATGCAAGAAAAAATGGTACTTATGTATCAGCCCATCAACCGACCAAGTAAGCATTATTTAGCACCAATTATGGATGTTCACTTCTTATAGAATTCCGCAATAACGGCTAGTGACCATTGTTGAAATTCCTACCTACTGTCAATAGGATAATACTGAAGTACAACAAATAAATAAATAAATAAATAAATAAAAAATAAATAAATATATATATAATATATATATATATATATAGCACCAAGTAAAAGAAAAAATAGCAATCATCAAATAATGAAAGTACCAGAGCTGTGACGTCATTCATGTTTATCCATAATTGGTGCTAAATGGTAGTGCTTGGTGATGCTTTCACTGTCTATAGGATAACACGTAAGGACCCAACATTCCTACAGTACAATTTTATTTGAACACAGTTGGAAGATAGGGACTACATGCTTAATATTTTAAGATAATACAAATCAACTAATTTGAAAATATGACTACACAGTAAACGACATAACAAATTAATTAATTTGAATAACATTTAACAAAAATAAATGCACAGTAAATTAATGAAGAAATTCAATGTACAAATTAACCCAAATAAGCAAAATATCATTAACTGAAATTTCATAGAAGCTCAGGCAAGTTTAGTACAATATAGCTGTTCTAGTGTACACAGTAGAAGTTGAAATCCTTCAAGTGAAAGTTACAAGTACTTAGTCAAAAGACAAAATATGAGTCTCAGAAACAGGTTTCCCCATGCGTCCAATAGGAATGAAATGGGAGCTTATCATTGACAACTCTCAGAAATTCCCAAAATCTTTCCACATAGTAATCGAATGCTTTTACACTGCCACTATTAAATTTTAATTATTTTTAAAAAATACTTATTAAAATAGACTATTAAAATCACATTCTAATAATATTTCACATTTTAAAACACATGTAATTTATGACATTGATTTTTAAAAGATATTAAGAAGCTACAAGACACACAAATATTTATAAATCTTTTTAATTTGAAAACTTCCCAGATATTCTAGCGAATTCATATCGATTGCCTTCTCTTTCAGCATCTTTTCTAACAATAGAAAATTTGTTTCAGTAACCAAACCAATGATGCCACTAGTTTATGCTTCATCTTCTAACTTGTCAATGTCTCAAAAATACAACCTATGAGGTTTTACTTCATTTTGTACAAGTTATAGTCCCAAAAGACCTAACAGATATGAAGCAAATTATTGCCATGTCTGAAAGTAACTACAGCCAGATAAATGTTTAAAACAAACATTTTTTTTTTTTTTTTTAAAGAACTTAGAACATAAATGCACATTCATACGCCAACAAAATCAACTACAGCTCATAGTGATGGGCAGTCAAATTCAAACTAGAAATGTAGGCTAGTAGTCTAAGACTACACATAATCTAAGCTGACTCAGTAATTCTATCATAGTAACAAATTCAAATGTCAGCAGTGATAATGCAAAGCCGACTAATAACAAATTAGCAGAGCTGGCAGGAACTAATGCAGCATGCAAGCAGAGGCCAGAAACACAGCCTCACAATCCAAAAACCTCAGTTTAAATACTATCTACGATTTGCATTCTGGTGAGGAAACAGAAAAAAGTTATGGTAAAGGCTGAAATATAAACAACTGGTTAATTTGCATAATAATAATGGTACACATCTTTGAAGAATAATTTTCCTTATCTTTACGTATTCAGCCCCCCCCCAATAAGTTTCCTCATCAGTTTCAAATATATTTGAATTTAAATCAAGATATTTTTATTCTGAAAAACTACACGTATTTAGAATTATAGAAGAAGCTCCTAATTTTATTTCTTTAGTAATAAGAACATTGAAAATAAATATGATCACGGCAGGTTACAGAACCAGTATGAATGAATTTTCCGAATTTAGTGATGCACGGAACAACAAAATCTAGAAATGGCAAAACTTTTAGAATTTAAAACCCACAGAGATTGCATCAGATGGCAAAATGCCTAATGCCAGCCCCATGTATGATGCATTGAGGTGTATAAGATGAATCTTTTAAATTGTCAGGTTTCAATTTCTTTATTAGCATCAAATTCCTTTCTATACATGCCTGCCCATGTGACAAGATTAAAAGCACATTTGTGTCTAGTGAAAAGAAAAGGATATAAAGGGAAGATAAACATGTTAACAGAAAGCCTTCTAAAGAAAAACAATTCAAAAAGTGAGAAATTCATGACAAACTTCATGTAAAATACATATTTTATGTGTTAATACCATGAAAAAACTTTTCTGGAATCTTCAAGAATAGTAGGTCTAAAAATCTTGCCTTCAAATTGTTGTAAACTTTTCAAGGTGGTCTAAAAACCAGAAGAAAAACACCGAAGTAAAATCTATGTGCTACTCTTCTGAAAATTTAGCACGTGACTCATCCAAAAAAGAAGCATTTATGACATCTCTATCAACTCTTCTGCTAGTGCCAACCTCATTCATTAGATACATTTCTGTCATCATGAAAGCCATGCAATACTCTGTCAAGTGTGAAGTACATGTTGCGAATGTTACAGGTTTAATGCTAGAAAAAACAAAGGGTTAATACAGCAAAGGAAAAATTTGTAAATAAAGAAAACAATCCTTTAGCATCTATACACAATAGCTGAAAATAGACATACTTTAAAAACTGTATTTCTTTTGATGATCTTTGCCACCATCTCTAGTGTGGATTAGAAAGGTAGTTTTAATTATAAGGAAAATCCATTACGTAGTGTGCATTAAAACTTGACCAGAAAATATTACCAATCCAAGAACACTAATACACCTGATCGATAAAATACAATAAAATTGGAAAGCTCCAAATAAGCATTTTACAACCACTATTTTAGATTTCGTTATAATACAGCTTAATGTTTAAAAGGAGTTCAAAATTAATATTTTTTAACACAAAATATTTTATTCCAATAGGTAAAGTACATATAAATATGTGCTTGTACATATGCATATATATATATTTGAGAAAAAAAATTTGGACGTTTATTTAATTAATTAAAAATTACATTTTCCACTTTTTAATATTTAATATATTTTTACTTGTTCCATCATTAGTATTTTACTGTTTTATATTCATTTATTCTGCATGTAGCCTAATATACCCTCATCAATTTAATTAGTTTTTTTAAAACTGGTTAAATTTCTGAAATTACTTAACTATAGTTTTTTTTATTCGACTTGTAGAAACTAGTGAATATGCATATGTTGGATTTCTCTTAGGCCCGCTTTTGGTACTTTTGAGAGCAACTACTTTCTTTCCCATTTCCTACTTTTGAGCACTTGCGCAAATTTTTACAAAATTGTCTTTTTGTATAGTCTTACACTTTGTTGCTTATATAATATGTTGTAGTGTTTCGGAAACTAATACCATTTCATTCAAACCATCGCGCGCTTGGTAGGTGTCCCACGCATGCGCACTATCTTTCTTGTTCACTGACTTTCAATGTCGCCCATTTTGGTTGCTCTAGTTGTTTTCAGTTTGCTTTCACATAAAAATATTTAAGACAATTAGTTCAACCCGCCGATGAGATCGTGCGTGATTAAATTTTGAACGGAGATGTAACCGGCCGAATTTACGCCAAGTGCCGAAGTTTACGGTGCCTACGCGATAATGGATGATGTGAGAAGTGGTAGATGTTTAATGCAGTCGAACAAATGTCCCCGCCGAGGCTCAGAGTGGTCGGCCTTCTGATGGCACCGAGATTGGTAGGAAAGTTGATGAGCATCAAAGAACAGACCTTCACATACAACTCTTTCAAGGCATTTCCAAATTTCACGTACTATCTGTTCGAATTGTGTCTGACTGCTTGAATTATCGCAAACTGTGTTCCGATGGTTCCGAAAAATGTACCGATGTTCACAAAACAAGCGACTTGTAGCCCTGAATTCTCCGCGTCAGTATTAGGAGAAAACTTTTTTAACCAAATAGTGACAGTTCGCAATTAGATTGATCACCCCCGTACAGCGGACTTTGCGCCATCCGACTATCACTTGTTCCTGCACAGAAGCGCGAGCTGTGGCAAGTGCTTTGGATCTGACGATGACACAAAAATCTGTGTATCGTGGTTATCGAACTGCGGTAATTTCTTTGACGTGGTATACAAAACTGTCACCCGTTATGACAGGTTTGATCATTGGTGAAACTATCTGAAAAATAGTTAAGACATGTATTTCATTTACAAATAAAATTGGATTCAAAAATTCTTTTTTAATTTTTTTTTTCTCAAACGGTACTTAGTTTCGATACGCCTCGTATATACATAATATTTCGTCTACTACAGTTCGCTTTACCTTTTTTTCAAATTAATATAATATATACTGGTGGCAAATTTGACACTTTTGAAAATTTTATGTTTTTGACTTTTGCTTATAGAAAAGTTACGTTCACAAAATGCACTTTATTTCATTTTAAAGAAATTTATTACTGAAATACAACACAAAATTCAATTCAATTTTTGAACACAAAAAAAGTTTAACAATAATAGTTTGATATACATTAGATAGTGATGATGCAGTGAGTTATCAGTACTTAGTAGAGTACCCTTTATTTTTTATCACACCTTCACATCGACTTGAGCTCACAAGAGTTTTAAGCTCTTCTTTCGTTATTACATGATGGCAGGAAACAATTATAGCCTCAATAGCTCCCTTTTATTTGATTGGTGCCTCTTCGGACAATAGTTTTAAAACGTTGCCACAAATTTTTGATAGGTTGGGATCAGGACTTTTTCCTGGCCATGACCAATTAATGCTCTTTGTACAAACCACCTTTCGAATTTTGGTCGTGTGGCAAGGAGCAGAAATCCTGCTGAAAATAAACGAAGCATTGTTGGAAAGAGATCTCTGATGGAAGGTAGTTTTGGTTCTAGAATAGTGTAATGTATTCAGGTCCCATCGATGACATGAGGCGACCAATACCATCCTGACATGCATGCCAAATCATAACACTAACTGGTTCTTCACAGCTTGAATGCGTTCAGGATGTAACTCTTCTCCTATTCTACGTCTTACATATTTTTGCCCTCACTACCAAATAACGATATCTTAGTTTCATCACACCATATAACTTGACCACGATCTCTGTCCATTAATGTGTTCCTTTGCGCACTGCATCTTTTTTTATCGTTGCTGAAAATTAAGATAAGGCTTTTTGTGAATTCTACATCTCAGTCAACTGTGTTAATAATCTCCTGATCGTTCTAACTGACAGAAACAACCAGCATCATTCAGATACTTTGATGGTCGCTGATGACATTTTTATATCTTGGAGACATAGCCTTTATTCTTCTGTCTCATAGATATGGTGCACCTTTCGGCCTTCCTTCTTTGTTTTTTATTGAATTTGTCGATATCATAAACAAAACTTTCAGAATCAGATGTAGTCACTGAAACCCACCTGTTTTGCAATTTCAGCATAGGAAGACCACTTCTCGTAACACAATAATTACATCTCTTTCTAGGTGTCCAATCTACTGGATGTCAGCTTCTTGACTAAATAAAATTGCTTCCTACTTGTAATTGCAGTGTAAAGAAATTCCTCCTTACAGAACAAGAAAATATGAATTGCTTCAAGTGTAAACACGATGTCACGTCCTTCTACTGCCAGTTACTAACATTTGATTTGTTCTCAGAACAAAGAACGTGATTGGCCAGGAAACTAGACATTACAAACCACTTCATAACTGTGTTTTTTTTATATAAATACATATATTTTTTGTATTGCAATATTGAATTTGTGTTTTTTATGATTCAGTAGTAAAATTCTCTTTAAAATGATATTATACAAGTTTGCATTTGCGAACGTAACATTTTCTATAAGCATACAAAGTTCAAAAACATAAAAATTTCCAAAAAGTGTCCACAATTTTGGCCACCACTGTATATATATAATGCTTTTTAAAAAAGTCACAGCTACAATATTTTATAACAGTGTGATTCTTGTTATTTTCTCTCTTTAAGTTTCATTTTACAGTCAATCCAAATGAGGAAAAATAAGATACAAGAGTCAGTTCACAGAATGAATTTTTATACATATTTTCAGTCTATTCACAGGACATTTACCTGGATTAGTAACACGTAAAAAATAAGTTGGCAAACGTTGGTTAAAAGACTGCACTGGAATGTTGCGTGGCCCTACATTCAACTGCACTGCTACAGCACGTTGTCCAATGAGACCTGATTGCAAAGGTGGGATGAAACTTTGTCGTGTCATCTGCATAGGATTATTCAGAGACGTCTGTGAAATACTTTGTGAAGGTGGAATTATCTGAAGAAAATTGCTGATGGGCACTAATAAGTTTGAGTTATTTGCCAAGGAAGGAAGATGATTGACTTTTGAGACAGTAGATGGTACAGCTGGCATAGAAGCAACTGTAGGGAGAGAAATAATAAGTATATAAAATTTTAAATTAAATGCATTTACAGAAAGATATATTCTAATTACATAACTAAATATTACCCACTTTTTGATCAAAATTAGACAACGTATCTATACTTATGAACTCTATTTTCAGCATATTATTATACAAAGAATATTCTATAATAAACACAAGTTGATACTCCTGTTTAGTTCACATAAAAAAGGGGAAGGAATGCAACTTATAGCACTCATATGTGACTTATAGCAATCAACTATTAATGAACAATTTATATACCCTTTCGTACATCTTTAAAGCATACTCTATATATACTAAATAAAAAAAAACAATATTATTACTCAAAATAAGATTTCATTTAAATTCAATGTCGTCACAATCATGCTATTACACTTGTTTAAAAAAATGTCATAAAATTTACAAACCATTGAATCAAAATTTTTGCAAACTGATCTTTAAATTATCAAAATATTGATAAATCACCAAACATAGCAATGCACAACAAAAAGGAGGAAGTTGTTTTTAATGCAATAGGTAGAATGAGTATAGTAATGTGTCCAAATATACCAAATCAAAATCAAATGTTACAGCAAAATGTAGTAACCAAATGCATGCTAAATGTACACACTTTAAATGCAAACTATTGACCAAATAAACAAAGTGACACTACTTTTAGGGCTTTTATAAAAAATTGCAAATTTCATATAAAGAAAATAATTTCACACAAAAGATCTAAAAGTTAAAGGAGTTTTTGTAAAAATTATGGGGGAAAAAAAAAAAAAAAAAAAAAAAAATCATAAAAGTTGGCAGACATACATTAATCCTGGATTTACTTTGACAGAATCCTTTTCTGACAAAAAATTTTTCTTAAATAGCCAACTACTACCAAACCTTTTATTTTATATTTATTGATATATTTTTGCTCAACTTTTCTTTTTTTTTTTTTTTTTTCAAAGGAAAGCTCTAAATGTTCCAGGTTTCTTAATGGCATTTGAGCAGATCCAATCAAGGCAGGACCATAAGGTCAAGCTGAAGTAAAAGAATTCCGCTCCCCTACAGCGTTAATAGTAGTTGACAACACGTTTTTAAAAGTTAGGTAAAATCACACATCCCAAACTTTTAACCTGGAATAGCTGTTTCTTGTTGTTTACAACATCAAATTGCAATGGCTCTATTAAAAGCAGCAAGATTTTAGTTCAATATTCATGCAAAATATTAATTCACACTCAGAATGGTAAACAAAGAAGGTGGATGGATGGATCATTTCCAAAATTCTAGGAAATTTTAAGGACTATTCAAATATTATATGCTCCAAAATAATGTGGAAAAGAGAGTATTGGCTAACCTCCTCCATACACACACAGATCCTTTATCTGAATCAAGGAAACAAAAGTACTCTTACTTAATACATGCTTTGTGACCGCAACACTTAAGCATCGCTGTTGATAATCAGGAGTTAATTGTAAACACGACAGTATACAATGACACTGAAGTCTAGCCTTTGCCATTTCTTGTTGCAAGTGATACTACATATCCAGGACATGCAGGGAAATTATTCTGAATGGCTTGTAGTGAAGTTGTCAGTGTACTTACTACAGTTTCCACTATCACACAATCCTTCTGTCATCAAAGGCATGGCTGAATAGCTAACAATGAAGTTATCAGTATACTAATTACAGCCCTCATCAGAGTACAATTTTTATGTAGCAGAAGAAAGAAATGAGAAGCTTAGTACTTCTCCAGCATTTAGCGAGTGGTATTACTAAATGAAGCTGTCATTAAAGTTATTGTCTTCATGGTTGATTACAGATACTCTACTGGAATTACTGGTAACATCAACATCTGACTGTCTCATAATGGGAAAAGCAATCCATTTCCCTGAAGGCAATGACATAACTTCTCTCACACTTGCATGATTAGCTGTACGGTCAGTAGGTGCAATTAGAAGGCATTCTTACTTTCTTATTTGAACAACTCTACCATACAAACAATACAAATCGATGCAGCAACCTTGTTCTCTGCACACACTGGCTCAGCATTTTCTATAATTTTCATGTCTAGCTAAAAAATATTCATTCACATGTCAAATTTTGAGACTCAGTTTTCTAGGTATGCTGTATTTTTAGGTGAAGGGGGAACACACAAAATGTGCGTTTAAAAGTACATACTTTAAACAGTATTAAAGATCTGTACAAACTGAATTCTCTCTTGTTCTTAGCATTTACTGCAATGCAAGTAAAAAAATTTTATTTCTTTACTTACCACATTTTATTTCAACAAAGATTATATAGTCACAGCATTGATATAGAGAAAAACACAACTTTTTCAAGAAAATTAAACAATGAATTCTTTTTTCACTTCCCTACATAACGTAACCTATTTTTGCTTCAACTATGAAAAACTGAGAAAACGAAACTTTTTTATTCACATAATTCCTGAAACTAAACATATATCATTCATTTATATAGCACTAAAATTAAAGAGAAAAAAGCAGTTTATATTTGATTATATGATATTATATTGAAACAAAATGCAGTCTATTTCTATTTAATAAAAATTAATAATTCTTATTGTTATCATACATTAAATAATAATTTTTTCACATACACATTACATAATTTGTAATTCTAATGCACTAAACCAACTAACTTATAATTCTAATATTAATCTGGAAAATATGCACTTTAACATTTTTACACTGATTAAATCAATTCAAAGATAAAAATAACAACAAATTTTATCATTCTTGACTGCAGGGGAAAAAGAAGTCTGTTAATTGCAGTTCTAGATATCTGAAATCCAGCCAAGTGAGGTTCTTTAAATTATGATATATTTATCAGAATATGTTCTATACAAAACATAAAAGGTTGCTTAGTCCACACTTGTTGTTGGTTTGATAAATATAAGAGTAGTGTTACTTTCTCATTTTTTCCTAATTTTTTTTAAATTTTTATTGAATGACAAATACTGTAACAGAAAAAATGGGCCTTTCATACACTAATCATCAATACTTAGCAATTAATCTAGTCAAAGTTAAACAGCACTTACAAAGTTCAAAACTGAAAACAGGCACATTTGTTGAAAGTGGATGTGCTGGCTGAATCATCTAACTGAGACAATTTTTTTGTACTTCTAAAAAAATAGGAAATTCTCCCCCCCCCCAAAAGAAAATTTCATGTCACAAATTACAGCAGTTTTCATAAAAATCATAAAAGCTGGCAAATTTGCACTTTTTCCATGTTTATACAAGCTGTAGCAGATAAAACTCTTTGCATAAATAAGATGCCCCTTTGCAGTTTTAAACTGTTCTAACAACCAAATATTTAAAAAAATTTTCAAGAGTCCTATTCATGTTTTTTATCAGTATTTTGAGAATTTCCTTTGAAAAGTGCATAAGAACAGTGGTTAACAGAGTGAATAATTATAGGGATAAACAAGGCTACATCAATGTCTACAAATGTTCAGAAATAAGATATTCAAAAAAAAAAAAAAAAAAAAAAAAAAAAAGTGGGGACAAAGAAAACTCAAAAAATCTGAAAATTTTTATTTCTAATTAATGTCCAAATGGGTTTAAACGTTTTGTGTGTCCAAATAAATTGTATAATTTTTCACACTGAACTTAAAATTCAGTCCAATAGCAAATTAATAAATCAGATATATTAGAATTTCAATACAGAGTTTCGCACGATAGAGTTATAGAATATTTCTGGCCCCCCCCCTGTACAGCGTTGCCATTGCTTATTTTTAAATCATTTAGTTTCTTAATCAAAATTTCGTTGAAGAGTTACAAAATCTGAAATAGATAATAAAACAAATTTCAAATTCAAATTAGGGTTTCCACATGCCCATATTCTATGGAAAATTACGTTATTCAAATGTTGATGGCTCTAGGTACTGTTGTTTGATCACAATGCGAGAAACGTACATCAAGTTATGCAGATTCTTCATTATTTAATTTCTTTTACTATAAGACAGAGCGATAATATATGGTGGCAACAATTTAAAAAGTGATACAGCCTTTTAAAGTTTTCAACGTGAAATGCCAAAACAAAATTAATAATCCTTTAGGGCATATTGCCCCTTTGGACTAAAAATAGGAAAAATTATGCTGAAAAAGTCACTAAAGGTAGGAGAAAATAATCAGTACAATTTAAGTTTCATAAATTCAATAAATTTCATTTATTTCTGGGAAACACCTTCCTTAATAAAGGCTAAAATTTAAAAACCAAGAGACTCAATGATCTACTCTGAAATTAGGAGACCTGATGGAAAAAATGGAGTCTCTCGGTGAAATTTGAAGAGCAGGCAGGTATAAAAATGCACAAAGGTATATTTTTCATAACTTAAAAATAAATACAAAAGTATAATACAGTTTACTGTACATAAAGAAAAACTTAATCCTAGATTGGATCCTACAATGGATGAAGTTTGTTGGTTCATTTGATTGAGAGAAAGCACACAGAAACTATCTGGCCAAGAGGGGATGCCTCTGTGAAGGATTTTCTACAGGAAACTAGCTCTAAATATGTTATGCATGGGAAAAAACCACAAAAACTATACATACAATATATACTAGAATTAGAAAATGAGTCTAACTAAAAGTGTTCAGCACTTTTAAGCAACTGGTCACTGGTGGGCAGATGTAGGCTGATATACATAATAAAATATTACCAGCAAAGCATTTTGAAGCAACAAATGAACAGACAGTTAAAAAGGGAGTTTGCATCATAACATATTTTATTTAAATGGTCTAATTACAAAATCCACTACTGTCGAAAGCATTTCAGATTTTGGAATATTTTGGAAAGTTGTCATTAAAATATTTTGGAAAATAGTTGCAGACTGAACCGGTTTATTAAAAAAAATATAGCTCTATATATTTCCAAACATGCAATAATCTGAGAGAGCACATAACCAGCAAACATGTTTAATAAACACAATTAAAAAATGAAGCTTTGAATATTTTAATTCACAATTTTGTATCTTCAGAGAATCTCAACTGTTTTAAAAACAACTTGATTTCATTAAAATAAATCTATGCTTAAAATTACATTAAATGAATAATTTTAGCATGTCTTCTTCCCTCTGATCTGAATCAGGTCTGATTCATAAGTTCATTTGCCTTCATATCTTCCAATACCAAATTATATCTCTTCAGCAGATTTTCATGCACCCAGGCAAACACAAGTTGATGTTGCACAGCAGATTCTTTGTTTTTACATTTGACACAAGTTGGAAAAATTTTTTTTACCACAGGAATATCTGAGGGTCCTTAAATTGTCCTGAAGTCAAGCGAGCCAAAGCCGTTTGGTCCTTCCTATCGTCCATGAAACCAATAGCAGCACCAGGACTTGTACTATGATGCTTGAGTGTATTGGTAGCTGTCTCCAGGAATCATTAAAGAACTTCGTCTGCAGTACAGTTCAAGTTAGGTCAAAGGTTCAGCATAAACCTGAGGCTTGGAAGTACCCTCTTTTGCTAGTCTATCAGCTATATTATTATATTTTAGATTTATTTTTTAGCATGTACAAACATAAAGAGAAAGGAATTTCCTAATTATTGAGAAATTAAATTATTTCTCCCAGCTTTAACCTTATCAGTACTTCTACAGTGTTTACCATTGTAATAACTTACTTACTATTCAATCGTGGTTCTGTGTTCATTGGCCAAACAAGACACTTCTTTAACTAAATTATTTAATGAAGAGAAGACTAATACAAATAATTATATAGCACAGATTACAGGATAACTGGTTTATACTTCTTTTAACCACTCTCATCTACCTCTCAACCCTCTCTGCTGAAAACTCTTAATTAGCTAAACATACGGACGGCGCAGCGCCCTCTATCTCTTTTTTATATAACCATAAAATATCATAAAAATATCACAAAAAAATTAAAAATTTCTGTATGCTAACTTTCCAACTGAAAACGTAAACAGCCACAAAAACTTTAAACTGAATTAATTTATAAGAAAAATTATTCTCCTAATGACACAAAATTACATAAGCCACTAATAAAATCATGATGTTAAAATGATAACTAAATATAATTACCAGTACTGGAAACAGATGCTGATTTCTGAGCTGATGCTGAAGATTCCTCCCTAGTTAAGTCAATACACTGATTAGAATTAGTGACTGATTTGGGTTTATTAGTAGAGAAAACAACTACAGGTTGTGAGAAACCAGAAGACTGCAAAGGATTTGATGTATTCACCACCGGTACTAGTTTATTTCCAGTCTAGATTGTGATACAGTAAAATATAAACACTCAGTTAGCACAGCACTAAAAAATAAATAAAATGTTAACACACAAAATATAAAGGTAAATAATTATAAAATAAAATATCTTCAAATACATAACAAAAGTAATTACTTTAGAAAAACGTTGGGTAACCTCTGTAATGTTTGACTCAGTATCTTTGATCCAAAAATGCAAAGCTGAGTTCTGACGAACATAGAGGTCCATTTAATTTTGAAGAATCAGATTTAGAGTTGTGCACAAACCTTCAAATAATCCATACTATAACATGCAGTAGTCCACTACTTCACTGAAGTCATTAATGTCCAATAACGACAGATGTGAATTTCTAGCACCTGGACCAGTTACCATTGAATTAATCACTGCAGTCCATCACTCGTTCAGTATAATAACTTCATCACAGTATCCTGTCATAATAGCCCTACACTAAACAGCCCCAAAGTGATAGCTAAACCTAGTTACATAATTACATAAAATTAATAATATTAAAATACATTTGTAAATATTAGTAAAGAAATTAATTTTGACAGTTGAAAATATTTATTAAAAAATGCATTTTAAAAATTATATGGACATACCAATAGAAATTCTAAATGTCATTTGGTAATTCTCTACAAGACTTTAAGGTTTCTGTTCCTTACCATATTCTTTACAAAAATTACATTTCAAGGTTATGTGAAATACTAAGAAGCAAGTCTACATGTTCCATTATTTGCATAATTTTCCACTAATGCTTGCAGATATCAATTTAGTTGCACATACTTAGTTTTGCTAGTGCCTATGTTGTGAATACTTGCAGCTAGTTGTGTTAACCGGGTTTCCACCATATCCTGCTTCTTTCGGAAATGATCAACGAGTTTGTAAACAGATTAATGATGGCAATCTACAGTGCTAGAATGCCTTATGCCTCCCTTCTACCGAATTATTTGTCCTCAGAAGACCACTGATGACATGCTCATGAACATTCCCCATATTTATTGCAAACTGTGGTTGTGCTTGCTGGTTGCATCATATTCGTCCTACATTTGTATTTTCCCAGTAATTGATTATGGGGTCAAGTTCATTTGGGCAAATTTCAATTAATTTTTCAAATACTCTGATAACATCAGGCACTTGTACAAAACTCAACAATAACATTTTTACAAAAACATACACATTTGCATTATTTACATAAGCTTCCGCCAAATTCAGTTCTTGCACTTCTTGCCATAAGCACTGTCCCAAATCAAACAAACACATGAAATGTAATTTTGTACGTAGAGAATTGCCAAACTGCATTTAGAATTTCTATTAATATGTTCATATACAATTTTTAAAATGTGTTGTATAGTAAATATAGTCAACTGTCAAGATTCATTTTTTACTAATATTTACAAATATATTTTAATATAATTAATTTTATATAATTATATAACTAGGCTTAGCTATTGCTTTGGGGCTATTTTGTTGAGGTTATCTGGTAAAGGCCATTTAGTTTGTAGTTATTTTGTCAGAGCAAATTTGTTGGGGCTGTTTAGTCATGGGCTATTTTGAGGGGCCATGCTTGAACAGGCGACAACTAAAGTGATCTAGATAACCAGGCAGGGCCTGACCACCTTAGGGAACTGGTCAGAATCCTCTTACCAAATTCTCCTCTTATAGCAAAGTCCACAGGTTTGTCGGAGCCACTGCAATGGTTCCAAAACTCCAGTAGAATCAGTTACTGTACTTGAGCTACTCCGTTGGCTACAAATGGTTTGAATCGTTTAGATGGTCCTATTAACCAAAGAAGGAAGATTAGAGAGTTGCTCCATAAGAAAATTTGTTTCGTAAAATCAGAGAAGAGACCTTGTAATTAATTTCCTAAACGTGCAGCAAGGGGGGAGCACCATCCCCTTCGTGACGGGTGTATCATATATGCATTAGCACTTAACCCTCTTATGCTATGACATGCTGCTTAGCATCTCGTAGAGCAACTCACCCTGAAGATGGTGTGTTGTTGCAGTAGTACAACCTCACAAGACAATGTATTTTGCATCACTAACTTAAACGTTTTTTTAATCAATTGTTTTGATTATTTCTGTAATAGTATCTAACAATAATATAATCATTAATATAGAATATCAAGAGATTCTGAGAAAAATTTAATTAAAATCTAAATGTAAATAACATATTTTTATCTTGATGAAATGTGGTAAAACTTATGTAAATCTATATCTAAACATACGTAAAAATAATAAAATATATGATTAAAATTATTTAAAGATTCAGAAGGAAACAGTGTGTGATAATTTAGCCGCTATCATTTCATGAGTTACACATCTTCAGTTAGAACTTTTTAATTATTCCCAGCGAAATAATTAATCCTAAGAATCCCCTCATTTTAGGCACATCTTTTCACTTACCTTTTGTTCATTGAAATTAATTATTAGTTTCTTCAACTATTACATTCATTAGATTATAAAAAAAAAAAAATGGTGAAAAAAATCAGTTTCATTCACATAACTTTGAATTCAGTTTACTTCTGCAATTCCCATCACAAGGTTCAAAATTCCCATCACAAAGTCACAAGGTTTCAATTACTTAACAGATCGAGTTCATGATGAAGTAGCCACTGTACTGCTGGATTATGAGGTGAAAGCAAAACAAACTTCTAATTCGGTCTCTGACAAAATTTTGGTATCAAAATTTTTATTCTAAAAATCTAGAATCTTCGGTGTCAAAATATACACTCATAAGATTTACAATTTGAATATACTCTTTTTCTGTTGAAACTTACATCTTCTATCTAAAGCAGATGCAAAGTGAATACAAACTATTTATACAACACTGCTATACTCCCAAACTTCCCATATATATATATATGTAAGATAAAACAAAATATGACAGCTGTTTCAAAAAAATATTTGGCGACCTCAAAATTAACATTCTAAATTTGGTAATCTACCCCTAAATTCAACTCTTCTCACAGGTTCCAGATTTTTATATCTTACATAATGTTTTAATGCAGATACCTCTTGTCCAATCAAATTAATTGTACACAAAACTCTGACGAACTTCCTACTCCCAACCTTCTTCCTCTGAAAGTACTATAACTCTCCCTCTTTTCTGCATAAGCTCTCCTGCCAGCAAGATGCTTTTTATGTATGCTGCTGCCACTTACTTGCTTAAAACGACGTCATACTTCAAAATGCAACTTGCTGTATTCAGATATAATTACGAAACATCTTGTCTGAAAAAGGATGATTTGATGTGCGTGGAAAAAATAAAGATTGTGATTTTTCAAGATACGTGCTAAATTGCATCATCATGCTTTACATTCTGCCACTACGGTCTTCTCGGTCATCTACCAGTATCTAACTGTCTTCCAGTGTCATCATCTATGATTTTAAATAATAACTGTGATGATACGTAGGATTCTGTGCTGAATCCCAATGATGACACAAAATTTATCATTATTAACATCTTTATTCCATTCGAATGGCAGATTTCAGATTAACTTCTCCAAACTACATATTCAATAGTAATTTAAACTAAGTACTATGAATTTTGACTTTCTGCGTTATCAATATTTCTAACAAAGGAAAGATGGCATAAGCAGCAGCGAGGTGCATAGCGCAATTGGAGAGGGAGCTTCTTCTGCTATCTTTCCTTTGTTAGAAATATTGATGATGCAGAAAGCATAAATTTCATCGTACTTAGTTTAAATCATTATGGAATATATAATTTGGAGAAGTTAATCTCAAATCTGCCATTCGAATGGAATAAAGATGTGCAATTAAAAGATAAATCATTTTTGTGTCATCATTGGATTCAGTCTTACTACTCTGCTACAGAAATGCCTGCTGTATCATCATATATATACAAAAGCATCGGAAACTCTTTACTGTTTATATCATGTGAAACTCCAAGTGTTGGTCAGCTGGGTTTTATTTACATAATATCATCTGCTTGTACATCTAAACAAATCACCACATTTAGAAAGTACTTCATGGACACAGCATGTGTTCAAATAAGCTAATTGTAGTGGACATGCGGCAACACCTAGCGATTTAAAAAAATACTAAAAGAACATGTACATTTAAAAGTGCATATATGACACACCCATCTAGAAGATCAATGCAAGTGCCAATGCACCAGTGCATCACCTGGCTGAAAAAAGTTTTCAGTCGAGCAACATGTCATTGTGAAGGGGTTAACTCTAATCCTGAAAGAGTCAATGTTTTTAAAGGAGTAACCTTGCTTTTGGATATAGTAAAGCTCACTTCAATTTGGCCATTGCAATTCATTTACCTTAGGAAAGCAACAGCCCCATATGCTGTTACGTTCCTAAGGTAAACTTCATTTTCAAAAAGTTTTCTTTTAAGAGATACTAATTCAAGTTCACAAAGTTCAGAACACCAAGCTCTCCATTTATTCTGTAAGTCACCGGGCAAATCTTCGTCCAATTTTAGACCATATTCCCACATCTATCAAAGGCAGAATTTTCACTGTGATTACAACAAAGGGACTAATCATTCCGCATGGATCATATATCTTTGAAATACCAGGTAACCAAGAAAGTTTGTATGGTTTTTAGAACAGTTACTTTTGGTGTGTTAGTGTGGTCAAATTGACTCTGATGACACCATATGTTTACACTCCTTTCAAACCTTATTCAGTAGAAAGTTGTTTAGTGCATTGCATGTTTCGCTATTGGTTTTGTAGGAAATGCTTCAAACAGCATATTATTGGAAAAGGTGATTTTGAGGCCTGTTTTGCTTTACTTGTACAAATTAGGAAAGAAAGCTACAGATTCTGTTTAAAAACATGCTCCATGCTTGGAGAGACATCAGTGAGTGAACAGACTGCTCAAAAGTGGTTCAGCCTATTTTCTTCTTGAAATGAGAGCCTTGAAGACAAGCCTCATGTTAATTTTAATTGTCCATCCACCCTTGACAAAATCCAGCTGGAGGAGGAAATCAAGCAGAATCCTCATCAAACCTGGCAGGAGCTTACAC